GAGAGAGAGAGAGAGAGAGAGAGAGAGAGAGAAATTGCTCATAGTGTGTTTAATTGGCTTTATTTTTCATGAAAAATGTCATTTTAGTTAAACTTGATCGACATGTGTTGATTTCGTCTTAGCGTTCAAGTTTTGCATATAGCGAATCAATAAAAAAAAAGGAGTAAAAGAAAAGAAAAAGTGAAGTATTTATTTATTTACTATAGTATACTTTGAACTCCATTCCAAAGATGGAAAAAAAAAGAGAAAAAAATTGCTCATAGTGTGTTTGATTGACTTTATTTTTCATGAAAAATATCATTTTTTTAAAATCCGAATTCAAACTTTTTGTGGTGTTTGATTGACATTTTTTTTATGAAAAATATTTTCCAACTTTTAGTCATGGTACCATATTTTCCTCAAAAAATAAGAAAATATTTTCTTTAGTAAAAAAGCAATTTTTATTTTTCAAGTAATTCATTCTCTCTTTCTCTCTCAATATTCCCCTCTATCTTATATACCCCATCAATTAAAAAAAAAAGGACAAATATAATATTTTCTAGATTGAAAATTAAATCAATCAAATACATTTAATTAATAATTTCATACAACTAAGTTTTAGCCAATTTGATTACTTAGAATTTATTTTCTTTTTATGCAAATTCCATACTCGTACTATTGATTAGAAAGATTGCTAGTAGGTTTTGTATGGGAAAACCCCGGAAATTCTATTACATACATTGTTTTGATAAAATATTCACATTATACCACTGCATTTTATTTTAACCAAAAATATTGCATTTTGTGTAGTAAAAATAGAAAATAAAAAATTGTATCTCTCATCAACTAATCGATTTGATGGCTTCAATCTCTCCACCAAACACGCCCCAGTTGCATCTAAATTTATAAGAAGTATTGTAAAGAGTAGATTCATTCAGTTGTACAATTTCTATTGATAACGACATCGGAGTTCTAATGCCAGATATCTTAATGTTGTGTAAAATATCGGTTCTTGCTGATTACGGAGCAGTATAATCTTTGCTTTGCTACTTTACATTCTATTTTACTCTTCGAAAGAGCAATACAGTAATGCAATTTATTGCATTTTAGTTAATAATTAGATTTTAGCATCTATTTTACTTTATGAAATATGTTTACGCAAATTCATTGCAAGGACTAATTATTGAGGAATTCGATGGCTGATGCACTCTGTCTAGCGACAATTTAACCAGTTACCATGATTGTCACACAATATTTTGTATGTGTGTTTGTAGGAATCTCTTGGTAGATTCAAACATACCTTTTTAATTCCATTTTATGATTCTCTTTGTAAAGCCTATGATTATGTATGAGTACTGATCATTGAGATTTGTCTGTCTCTAGATTAATTTTTTTGGCTCTTTTGCTCGACATTAGTCATCATTTTTGGCAGTGGTGATGGTAGTTTATCACTAATTCGACATGAAATCTTCTCCCAAGATACACAGGAACCAGCTTGTAGGTGGCCAAAGAGGGGTCTAGTACGCCCCCCCGGGACATAGTTCAGTAGTGCAAAGAACAGGAGTGATGTTATCTCACGCTTTATTGGTAATCGCAGTGTGGGGATTCGATTCCTGAGACATAGAATTAGACTTCTTGTAGGTGCAGTGTACAAACAGCTCTTATTCTCTGACTTGTTGGGGCACATCCCGAAATTTACCTCCCTTACAAAGCTCTAGGAGCGTGACGGTGGGAGGGCTCTCAAGGTTGGGGTTCAACCTTTTTTTTTTTTTAAAGAGGGGTCTAGTACTCTTTGATGTTAAAGATTGTTATGGATGAGACAGAAGTCGACATTTAATGTTGAATTATGTAATGGAGATTAATTTGTGGAATTGAGTTTCAGAACAGAAACCGAGGTTGACTCATTTGGGATTATACCCAACCCTTCATCTTTATAAAAATATTGATTGCATCATCTTCCATATACATTTATTCCATAACCAGAAATTAGTACATTTGAGCATATGATATCCTTCTTTTTCATCCATCCAAAATATCTTTTCCGTTCTCAATCTTCGCACAATTAACATACATGCCTGTACAGACAATCCTATGAATACATCAATTTCAAAATCCGCTTTTATCCCCAGAGAATGTATCCTCCAGACATGCTGCAAAGCTCCCGAACAGCTACAACCTGAAAGAACACTGACTAAAGACACAGAATCTAGCACAATCTTTTTCACCTGCATCATCTTGTTCAAATGCTTGACCATCCTTTCCTATTTTACACTTTTTTCTTTTTTTGAAAAACTTACCGACATCAATGTCCAAGCAACAACGTCCTTCACGGGAATCTCATCAAATATATGCCCATTTGAGCCCCTTATTTCTTAAGAATGTATTTTGAAATAATAGATTAATAAAGAATATATGGTTAAAATAAGGAAAAGTTTTGAATCTGTGTGTAATATTATTTTATTGAAAAATGTGTGGTTGAAAAGATTAGAGAGAAAAATATATTTTGAAAATAATGAGAATCAAACAAGTGCTGTATTGTTATCTCCCAAGATACACAGGAACCAGCTTGTAGGTGGCCAAAGAGGGGTCTAGTACGCCCCCCCGGGACATAGTTCAGTAGTGCAAGGAACAGGAGTGATGTTATCTCACGCTTTATTGGTAATCGCAATGTGGGGATTCGATTCCTGAGACATAGAATTAGACTTCTTGTAGGTGCAGTGTACAAACAGCTCTTATTCTCTGACTTGTTGGGGCACATCCCGAAATTTACCTCCCTTACAAAGCTCTAGGAGCGTGACGGTGGGAGGGCTCTCAAGGTTGGGGTTCAACCTTTTTTTTTTTTTAAAGAGGGGTCTAGTACTCTTTGATGTTAAAGATTGTTATGGATGAGACAGAAGTCGACATTTAATGTTGAATTATGTAATGGAGATTAATTTGTGGAATTGAGTTTCAGAACAGAAACCGAGGTTGACTCATTTGGGATTATACCCAACCCTTCATCTTTATAAAAATATTGATTGCATCATCTTCCATATACATTTATTCCATAACCAGAAATTAGTACATTTGAGCATATGATATCCTTCTTTTTCATCCATCCAAAATATCTTTTCCGTTCTCAATCTTCGCACAATTAACATACATGCCTGTACAGACAATCCTATGAATACATCAATTTCAAAATCCGCTTTTATCCCCAGAGAATGTATCCT